TCTCTCTCTCTCTCTCTCTCTCTCTCTCTCTCTCTCTCTCTCTCAATATATATATATATATATATATATTTTGTGTGTCAACATGGATCACTTTTATGACTTTGAATGTTTTTTTTTTGTTTTTGCTCTCATGTTTTCATAATTACGTTTAAAAATCCTAAAGGGTTTACATCTAGAATCTACTTTTGCATCATTTTAATTGTTAACCTGGATAAAAGTCCGATATTTAACCGTATACTTGTGCAGGTGAGAAGCGTGGTTATGAAGAGTCGTCTGCAGTCGACCACTACAACAACATACACTCTCGTCAACCTGGTGAGATCCATATCTACAGTATTACCATTTGACACTATTCAGGATTAGCAGCAATTATAATCTCTACCAGAATGCAAACTGGCAGTTCAAAGATATTTTTATTGAAAACTAGGACCACCATTTGTAAAGAACAACATTTTAGTCATACACTGTTTTCTCAGAGTATCAGCCTGAGCCAACTCAGAATTATGATGAAAACCTGGGACTGGGGGAGGAGGACTATGACTCCACCAGAGTAACAATGATCACTGGGGACGTCTTCCCATTTGAGACCATCACGGAGTCCCACTACGCCAAGGAAGACACTGAAAGCATGCAGGTGGGGCAGCTGATGGCTGTTTAAATGATTTAAAATATATTTTGTTTGAATTTACCACTTTGTAAAACGTCTATTTAATGAATGAGACAGTGTTTAAAAGCACAAGAACTAGATAAACTTTGTAAGATGATGTAATTTAAAATTCCACATGAGCTTCAAATTTAACCTTATGCTGAGATTGTGTTTTTGACTGTGGCTTTTTAATTCCAGTATTTTATTTGAACATGCTGTCTTAAGTTGTCACTAGGTGTCATCAAAAGCATAACAGAAATAACTTACAGGAAACTATAAATTCTCTGTCTCTGTTATTAATCCTATTTAAAGCAAACTTAACCAATTAGCCTAACTTGCTCTCTTCGGTTCAAGGGTGAGGTTCTGCCTCAACAGGAGGAGTTCAAGTATCTCAGGGGTTTTTTCACGACAGGAAAGAATGGAGCATGACAGACAGATTAGTGCAGCGTCTGCAGTATTGCAGACTGTGCTGGTCCGTTGTGGTGAAGAGGGAGTTGAGCTGTAAGGCAAAGCTCTCTGTTTATCGTTTGGTCTACGTTCCTACCCTCATCTATGGTCATGAACTCTGGGTAGTGATCAAAAGAATGAGATCGCGGATACAGTCTGTTGAAATGAGTTTCCTCTGCAGGGTAGCTGGAGTCTCCCTTAGAGATAGGGTGAGAAGTTCAGTTATCCAGGAGAGACTCAGAGCAGAACCACTGCTCCTCCACATCCATAGGAGCCAGTTGAGGTGGTTCGGGCATCTGGTAAGGATGCTTCCTGTGTGCCTCCCTAGGGAGGTGCTTCGGGCATGTCTGACTAGGGAGAAGGCCCCAGGGAAGACCCAGGACACGCTGGAGAGACTACGTCTTGGTTGGCCTGGGAACGCCTTGGAATCCTCCCAGAAGAGGTGGCTGTGGAAAGAGATGTCTGGACCTCCCTGCTCCATCTGCTGCCACCGCAACATGACTTCAGAATAAGTGGAAGCTGATGGATGGATGGATTGATGGATTGATTGATTAACCACATGATTGGGCATTTTGAATGCAATCAAAATAGTGTTAGGACACCAAAAGAACTATTCTAAACACTGTTACCTTTAGGTAAAAATTAGGTTTTGTTTTGTAGTACAGGTTTCACAGGGACTTCTTAATTTTTGTTTGTTTGTTTGTTTTTGGAGGGGTGGGGCATTTAGTTTTTATTTGCCAGTGATATGTATTGTTAAATATGAGTGCAAAGAAAGGAATGATGCAAGTAAATGGTTTAGCCAGCAAGGAACTGAACTAGAAATTTGTTGCTGATAGCATTTTGATTTATTTGATGCTTGTACCTCATGGAAAACTTCAATTCCCTAAAGATACTGGAAGTAAATAAGAAAATAAAATATACAGTATGTGATGTACACAGTAGGTACAAAAAAAAAAAAAAAGAGAATCAGGAGATAAACTTGTTCCATAATAAATGCAGAATTATAAACTTGAGTTGTCAAATAAACACAAAACCTGGCGTTCATTTAAATTAACTGTAAGTTTAAATGCAGAAAATTCCATGTTCATTCTACAATTTTCACAACATCTTTACAATGTTGCAGTCGTGTCATGTTTCAGGTGCCGTTTAAGTTCCCAGCAGGACCAGACACCGAATCCTCAGAGGAGTCTGGCGGTGACGCGGCGCTTGGAGAAGAAGGACCAACAGAGTGCGACTGTGAACCTGGAGAGCCTGGTTTTGCTGGTTTTGCAGGACCAAAGGTATCAGTTCATTACATCACATACATTTAATTGTTTTATGTTTAACTGCAGCCTGCTAATGATAATAAAGAAACACATGAAGAGCTTCACTTTTTTATACTCGAATGCACTCGAGGCTGTTTGAGAATAATTTGGCAAACATTTATTTACCATTTGAATGAGAATGAAAACAAAAGTGAACAGTTGCAACTGATTTAACAAGTTAGCATCAATAAAGGTTAAAAGCCAATAATTTGAGTTTATTCTTTTTTATTGATGCATGTCTAATGATTTATCATATTTACTGTTTGCATTGACTGCATGTGAGAGACAACACATCAGCATTTTTTTTATTTTTTTTTTTAATGCACATTTTTTGGTCCCTCAATATGTTACTCACACAACACATGTGCATATTATTAGATTTGCTGGAGAACTTTGCTAGTTTTCAGTGCACAAGCTCATTATCAACATTTTGTGATCAAAACTGTTTTTTAGACACCTTAAAATGAACAAAATAAACATTTACGTTTTTAACCAAAGTTCAGAATATTTTAAAACACATCAAGACTGCAATGTGGGCATGAAAACAGAAGTTTTATCTGCCCTGCGGTTCATCTGATTCTTTCTGTTCGTCTGCCAGGGATCAAGAGGTCTGCAAGGTCAAACTGGTCTGCCAGGGATTCAAGGCAGAGAGGTGAAGGTCTAAACTGCAGCTACATGTTTGATTATGACCAGAGAGAACCTGAACAGAGTGGTTATAAAATAATAATTCCATATCCTTTTTTGCATTTATTTCTTACACACATTTCATGCATTATAGGGTTATAAAGGATCCAAAGGAGTTCAGGGAAGAAGAGGAGACACTGGACCAGTGGTGAGTAAATCATGTGACAGCAGATGCAATGATTGTATCGTGCATGATAGCTTACATTGATAAATTTTACCTTCCATACCCAGACCAGTAATTGACTTTATTACTGTAAACTGGACTGAAAGTAAAAGTAGAGCTTAAGGGAAAAGCTTAAGGTCATTAGCTAAATATAGTTGGTATAATCAACAAGGGGAAAGAGAAAGCAAGGAGTAAGAGGAGCAATGAAATAATGACGCTTGAAAAAAGCTTCCATTATTTTCTTAAGAATAAAGATTTTACTGTTTCTTACAACAGTCATAGACGACCGCCTGTCATCCATCCTCACTGTGAAATTTGTTACCTGACTGACATACAAGACAGACAGTCTGAGGCCCCTTTTACGCGATGTGAAGTGAAACATTCGTATTGTTCATTTACAACGACAGCCCTCGTTCCCTCTGAAACCGAAGGTTTCTGAATCCAGGTCTCAGAGTGGAGATTTTCTGGGAAACTCCCACAGAAGTGTGAAGTTGCGCATGCGCACTACAGGCGGCTGCAGTCCAAAGTTTTCTGCACTAACAACAGTTATAATAAATGACAGCGAGCAGAGTGTTTTTGTGCTATTCACCCTTTTTCAGCTTGTAGGAGCAAAACTAATAAAATCAAGTTACAAAGTGACGTTAGTGTATTCACCAGTTAGGATGTAACTGATCGTGCAGACGCTGCATGCACGATTAATGCCACTGAGCCATGCTTCAGGTTGCCAGATAAATTTAAAATTTCTTATTTACCCCTCCTTTTCTGTGCACATGTTCAACAAACACAACGTACATCTCATCTTGTAATATCTTTACTCAGCACATATGACAGTTTAGGTCCAATACTATCATTTTAAAGTGACAGGACTATAGTTCATAATTTCTTATTTGGCAACCCGGCTGACATGGAAACTATAGTGTTTCGTGAAAACCATCTCATTTTTTGTTTAAAAGATTGAAAAAACACCAACGTTTCCAGAGGTTGTTCTCGTGTAAACGGGGCAGATTACTGACTTGGTCCTTTTAAAAGGAGCTCCCATGCTGAAAAAGTCTGGGCACCCCTGCATTAGATCATGCATTACCAGATTCTGTACAGTAACTATTGCGCAAATTGATTGCTGTGAATCAGTTTTTCTGGCCTTTTATAAATAGCATTCATTTTTGAATTTGGATCGTGCTTGCAGGGAGATGTTGGACCTGAAGGAGAAGAAGGAGCTTCTGGTTTCTCTGGAGGGATGGTAACTTCACCAATCCAGAATTTACAAAGTTAAAAGTCTGTCGCAGGTTATAAACACAAGGTGTAATTTAAACATTAATCTGAAAAATTCTTTTTTTTTTTTTTTTTTTACAATGACCTGAGCTGTAAAATCTGTGTTTAATAAAACAAAATGAAATTGTTCTTGTTAATTTTTTTGTCAGGGAGATCCTGGACTTCAAGGGGGCCTGGGCGAGCATGGAGAACTTGGTCTAAAGGTAAATATGCATTAAAATACCTGTAGAATACACTGATGTGCCAGTTCATAGCTGAATCATATCAGAAAATAAGGTTTTAGCTCATTTTAAACCATAAAAATTTAGTCATATACAATTTATAAAATATCCGATATACTGTACTGTACTACAATGCTGCGCAGATAAACTTTGAACTTGCCTTAAGTGCAAAGTAAAGGATATTTTCATGTTTCAGATCACTTTAACGTGGCGCAGTAAAAAAAAAAGCCATTCAGACAATGTGGTCCAAAGACAAATCTCCTTTCATAAAACACTTCGCATGGGCAGGAGATGCCTTCTTGATGTCTTGGTGTGAGTTATGAAAAGCCAAAGGCAGTGAGGAGTGTTGAAGTCAACCAACTGCTGTTACACATCTGAGCCACCATGCAGCGTGGTAACAGAGTTGTAATGGTCAGTGCATGAGATCACGAGCTGGCATCGCCGCTCGAAGGTGTCTTATAGTGACGACAGACTGTTCAACCAATTGCCTGTAAGAGTTTTTTATCCTGTAATTTTCCAGTGTAACTATTTTATCACGAGATGTAATGTTTAATGAATTCTGTGTTTCTGCCTGTCGACAGGGTGACGTCGGTATGGAGGGCCCTCGCGGAGGAGTCGGAGCTCCTGGTGAGACTGTAAGGAACAGTACCTGTCAGCCTGGTTGTGGTGAAAAGTTCAAACCTCTCATAAGTAATCCGAAATGTGCATTTGATTGAACTTAAATACACAAACAAATTTGAGTATGAATAATAGCACCTGTAAGGTGAGCAGGTAACCTACATGTTTGGAACCCACAGAGTTCTCTCGTCTCCACCACTTGTTGCTACTCGTGACTCCATCAACCAAATGATAATCTGAAAGAGCCTCAGGTTGAATTTGGGAGTTTACCATCCAGCAGCTGTTAAATCAATGGAACCCCCTAATTAGGGCTAAACAACTGTTAGAAAGTTGGCGTTTTATTAATGTTTTTGAATTTACTTTCATTTTCAATTACCAACAGGACGCTTGACTGGGACTCCATAAGTTTTACAGATATTGAGCTACAGTTTGGTGTGGTAGTAGCTGGCAGTCATCCCCAATATATACTCTCGAACAGATCGAGCAGGATCTTTATTTAAAACTTTGACGTATGAGGTGGTGGGTTATTGCATTAATTCAATTAATATTAGTTTCATCGTCTATTTTTAATTGACCCGTTGTAATATTTTTCACTTTAGCTTTTTTACAGTATGCTTTGTTTGATTTAACTCCAACCTTGAAAATAAATTAGTTTAATTTTATCTTTTTTTTTTTTAACTTACTAAGATTTGATTCTTTTTTGTTTTTATTGCAGGGGCCTCGTGGTGACACGGGTTCCCCAGGATCAAATGGGGGTAAAGGTATCAAGGTAATACCTGCTTATCTTGTCTTTGGCCTCAGCATGCACTGTATGCATCGTAGATATTAAACAATTCAAAAGCATTTAATTACTCATGGAAAATCCTAATTAATAGCAAAAAGGGATAAATATTGTTTATTACATTAGACAAATATTACCTAATCACCAGTTGATTTAATTCCATTTTTTAGTTTCTTTTTATATTATTTATTTCAATATAGTAAATTACCTGTGAGGATTTTTTTTAAATAATTTATGTTTTCACTCGTGATTTATGTTCAGGGGTCTCATGGGGATCAAGGCAAGCAGGGTCTTCAAGGAAAAGATGGACCAAAGGTAAAGAGATACAACTTAAAGTCCTGTAAGACATAATATCCTTTAAATAGATCCTTTTAAATTAATATTATATACATAAATATTATCAACATAATTGAATATTTTTTATAATATCCTGTAAATGTCTTCTTACATTTAACCAAACAAAATATAACAAATGGAAGCTAATGTGTCCAGGCTAACAGCCCAGGCTAATGTCTGTGCAAAGTTCATGGGGGAAATTTACTACAATTTCTAACACAGTAAAATTTGACATTTCTTGTTTTCATTGTCTTTTTCAGCTATGTTTTAAAAACATTTAACTCAATAATCATTCTTTGTCGGTGCTTTTTTTGAGGAGCAGCAATCACCTGTTTTGTTTTCTGTCTTTAAGGGTCAGACAGGAGCACCGGGGTTTCCAGGAGACTTGGGCGAAAGAGGCTACTCTGTAATAATAAACTTCTTTCACTTCTGATTTTTATTTTGATCCAGTATTTGTAATATGTTTTTTTGTGTATGTGCTTAAACTGATAAACCAAAACATCTCCAAATGTTTAAAGAACACCACAAGAATGATGCTATTTAAATTGGACTCTCTCAACTTTGAGGTCAAGAGCTCTTCAGTTGACTTCTGGGTGTATTCAGTTGTATTTGTTTGCAATTATGCACAAGTCTCACTCAATTTAGGTCATTTTCTATCTCCGGTGAAGCTTCGGGTTCTGCTAGTCTTCAAAGTTTATACATTTTTAGTTCTTATTTTGTCTCTCTCAGAAAATACCCAGCAGGATTATTCACAATCACGAGTGATCCAGTAAATTAAATTAGGTTTGGCATATATGGATTTTGTGTTTGAATTCTTTATTGCAACTTGGTTTTCACAAAAATAATGTTATAAATCACCAAAAGATCAATTTATTAGTGTTTGTAAGTAAAATTGTTGGTGTTCGCGTTTCTCTTAAACTAAAAAGTGACATATTTTTGTGCTTGTTCAAACTTTGTTAAACGTTATAGTTCTTCATAGTACCAGATTAGCTCACTCACTTTTAAGTCAAAAGTTTCCCACTTTTCTTAATTATTTTACAATAAACTGGTGTCCTCTTCTCACAGGGCCGTCCGGGACAACCAGGACCGGTCGGATCGAGTGGACCAAAGGTACAGACATGCAGATATTTGAACTCTTGTATTTTCTTTTTGCTGTCTGATGATATTCCTGTGTGTTTATTTACTATATGACATTACATCCACCTGGGTCCAAGATGATGTGTGGAAATTTGTATGGTGTTTTCCAGATAGGGCAGCACGGTGGCACAACTGGTAGAGCTGCTGCCTCTCAGCGAGAAGGTCCCTGGTTCAAATCCTGGTCCAGGGGCCTTTCTGAGTGGAGTTTGCATGTTCTCTCCGTGCATGCGTGGGTTTTCTCCGGGTACTCCGGTTTCCTCCCACAGGCCAAAAACATGCATGTTAGGCTGATTGGTAACTCTAAATTGTCCCTAGGTGTGAGTGAGAGAGTGAATGGTTGTTTGTCTCGTTTGTCTCTGTGTGGCCCTGTGATGGACTTGCGACCCGTCCAGGGTGTACCCCGCCCCTCGCACAGTGATTGCTGGACATGGGCACCGGCGACCCCCGTGACCCAAAATGGAAGAAGCGGGTAAAAGATAATGGATGGATTTTCCAGACATTTGCCTACTTTTCTTTGAAGAGTTTTACTTTCACAATGCAAATGTTCGTAACAGCTGTTATGTACAGACAGAAAATAGAAAAGTCATCAGTGGTGTATGAAATAATCTGTTACCAGATGAAAAAAGATTTTGATCTTTTTGTGATCTTCTAATATACAAAATATAAATAACATTACTTATTTACTTTAGAACTTGGAAGGCTACGATAAATGCCAAATTGTCTTCATATCACTAAAATGGTATCAAATAAATCCGATAAAAATATATACAGTGATCCCTCGCTACTTCGCAGTTCAATTATCGTGGACTCGCTCTATCGCGGTTTTTCAAATTTAGATTGGACATGACACACAATTGTCTGATTGATGGATGAGACGCACGATCGGCATGGAATTTTTATTTAAAATAAATTATTTTTAAGTATTTAGCACCTCCTGCACCTTTGTGCAGCCCATACTGTTGCAGGATAAACATCCTGCTGCAGCTGATCAGCTGTTCAGCATGCAGAGTGGAGAAGTGGGCGTGGCCAAGAGCACTTGCAGGTGGCAAAGAGCAGAGGAGGCAGGGAGCTGAAATCCTGTATACATATATATATATATATGTAT